ATCGTAAATTACCCATGTTTAAAGAGTTAAAAGGCATCGCCGGCATGAGCAGATAGATACCAAACATCAAATATACTGATATAGATTTGGATTGTTTTCATAGATGATTGATTAAAGTATTTTATGGTGATTTAGTTTTGGAGGAACGTCGCAATGCTGTAACCCTTTCATTATTTTACGTAATCGTTGAAAAAAAGAGACATGCTTTTGCCGTTGGCGTTGCCGAGGACCAGGGCTAATCAACTGTTTTCTTGGCTCTATCGTTATTCTCACTAAAAATTATTAAGAAAGTACATGCTTTAACGAGATACACAGCAAAAAAAAAAAAAAAACACATTCTTAGAAATTTTCTCCACATTAATGTTGTACAGCTTTTTGCCTCTACGTCGCCGGTGCCTCACCAGGCATATTTTATCCGTTCTATGTTCTACTTTACAGTTGTCTTTAAATAGTTATTAGGCGTTTGTTTTTCCCCTACTACATTTGGACAACGAGCCGTCATTGTAGGAAAGGTCAAACACTGAGCTTAACTCCAAATTTAGCAAGGTGCCAAAACTAAAACTGAATGTTCGATATTTAATGATTATGGCAGAATGTGCGAGCTATAGGCCGATTCGATATCATGCAGCAAGTTGCTGGTAACTTGGGTGTGTACGGCATAGAACTCAGAGATACATGCACACCGAGATACCCAGTGGCACTTACGCGGGTCGTGGAGACCGAAGTTAGACGGAAATTAGAGAAACTTTTCATTTTAATCCGGGTCAGTGACAAGTGGCTAGTGGATCAACGGCTATTCCAAATGTGTCGCTTTCAAACGACTTCCATGGTATAGTCTACGATATAGCTCAAGTTGTTGAAAGTGAGGGTGGCGGATGATGAGTTTACATGGAAATAAACCGAATGAAGGTATGTAGCTAGCTAGCTAACCAAATATTTTCAAATATCCTAAAGTTGACGGAAGTATGTATAGTATGTTACGGAATGCTGAATATTGCAAACCGTGTCAGGCTAGCATGTTACTGTTCAGTTTCTCTACTAAGTTGAGATATTTCGAAAGTCGGCGCCCATCATTTGTTGGAATCAGGCGGTGCACTTTAACACGGTGAAATAACTTGAAGTTAGGCAAAGATATATATACAGAGTGGAGCAAACCTTTCATGGTTGCCGTTCCGCATTGTTGGTCGAGGAAACCACAGATATGAATAATCAACTATACTTTGGTTGGACTCACAGTGAGGGGTGAGTCTTTGATGCTATATTTAACGGGGTGACTCTGAGGGGTGCTTCATACAAAAGAAGCTAGTTAAACTTAGCTAGCTAAAATATATGAAAGAACCAAGTGAAAAACTACTCAGTACGAGGTTAAAAAGATATCGATATGACATAGAACTGTAACGCTCGGTTTTTGCCATAGAAAATCTGGCACAGTCAATAGTGTCCATACATATATATATATAATATATGCAAGTATGATACGAAGACTCTCATTGTGTTAAAAGACGTTTGCATACTACGAGCGGTTTTAGAGACCAGTAGATTACGCATTTCTGAAAAAATCAACTTCCCATAGTTAGAACAACGAGATGATAACTATTAACAGGAAACTAACTGTAACCAAAGCATGACCCAGAACCCAGCCCACATCCACATATCAATTAGGCTATTTCACAACACATCACCCAGTGCTCTCCCTCTCACCCCCAGGATTCATTAAGTCCAATGTGTCGTTTTCTTATTATTAGGTGCATTATTTAAAGATTCAAGGCCATCGGTAATAACCAGTCCCTCCTGCATTTCCTATAAAACATTTCAAAAACCTGAACGTAGCAGTATACACACTATAATATCTGTATATCGAACAAACGGGCATTGAAAAGCCAAGGTTTAACTGTTATGACCAGGTTTTTGTCCCGCCACACTCATTCGTCTGTGTTAGACATATATACGCTAGCTCCCTATTACTTTATTCAGAAATGCATTTAACTATCTAGCTATATGTATCTAGTTAGTTGAAGCTTCGGCGCTACCCTTCGTGTTGGCAGTGTCTGCCAGGCAGGCTCGTCATTATGGGCTACCGCTAGATCTATTCATTGTTTCGGTTGATGGACACCCGCGCACTAACACACAACGACAATGCGAGAACCTCAACCCTGATACCCTATGGCCGCTATCGGTGAGCCACAATGAGATCGCAAACGTTCACTTTACTTCTCCCCTAATTTTCCCTCGTGTATTCTTCTCTGTGCCTAGACTATTTTCAACTATTGCAATGCTGGACACAGGGCCTGCGTTCCTACAAATATCGACACGTAAGCACAGATACAAACATAAACACACAGACAAAGACGAACGTTTGTGAATACGATTTCCACCTATTCAGTCGGTCGATTCGAGCAAAAGTAGAAGAGCTGCTACCGCATGCTCTCCATACTGTTTATATAGAAATGTTCTTTTGTGTGCGTTCATTATATTATCGGTGTCACTGAGATGTTGTTGTTGTCGCTATTATCGTTGTTATTAGAACCCATTAGAATCAGTGCCTGAGCAGGGAGGGAGTTGAGGTGACGCTATCAGTGACTGCACGGGTTGGACGTAGCACGATGACAACGCTACGTATTTTCCACTAATGAACTGCGGTTCCATAGCTCCTGGTGCTAACTGCAGAGCCAATACAACTTGATACTTCATTTTGGATTCTTGTGGAAGTTCGAGACAGAAGCTGCAAGGGAAGAAAAGGAGCGCGTTCATTATCGCACGGGTCTTCAATGGACGCTAACGTCAATAGACGGACGGGGTATGTCCCAATGATTTATAGTATTGGCAGGAACCGTTACTGTTGTTGATATGCAGGCACGGGCTGTATGGTGAGGGTACGCTCAAACGGTCACGCCCAATGGATAGTGTTGATTTGAAGGGGCTGATCTGGAATTGAAAATAATAAATCCCTAGATAAAGTAACGGGGAAATTATGCCTACTATATATTTAAAGCGCGTGCATCGGTTAGATTTGGCAGGGGCATAGTGGCGCGGATAGTGCGAACGTATGTTAACGCATTAAAAATATTAGCACCAAATCGAAAACTATGGTTTTTTTCAACTGATTTTCCAAAATGTCTACTTCAATTTAAAAATACAAATATGTCGTGATTTCTCTTCGATTTTGAGTAAAGACGAACGCTCCTTCGTTTTTACCTGATCCTCATTTCTGTGATCGTTTGGGTTCAGTACTGATACTATAACATTTAATGTCACAATGATAAGCTGAGAACGACTTAGTTGAATTACGTTATAGATTAGAAAAAAAAAAAAGGTTTCAATGATTGAATCGTTCTCTTGGCTGAAATATTTTTCAACACCCTGTGTTGCACGTGCGTATGTAGCACAGGGTTGAATGCAGTAAACAAAATGGCTTACGGCTACATTCCATAATAAATACGCTAGTGGTTCACAAGCTCATTCTTATGATTTTGATAAAAAAAAAAAAAAAAAAAACATTTTTATTGGCAAATCCGCGTCCATGTTTGATGATTGGGTGAGGTTGAGTTGAATAGACGGCAATGACATATGTAGATATCTTTCGAATAGAGAATACTGATGAGATATTAATCATTTGTGTTTCAATGGAGCGGGTGGCGTTCGGCAGTTTGATGCTACAAAGAAACTAACTAATTAAGCAACGACTGATCTGTAAACAACGATAATTTATGAATCTATTTTTCGTTGTCTCGGTGTTATTTCCTCCGGTGTTTTTGCTGTCCCAGATCCGACTGATCGGTACAGCAGATCACAAAAATGAATAAGGCGAACAAGTCGGAAATTGATCGAAGCGTATCACTGACAGGCTACAGGATCAACCCACCTAGAAGCTGCATCTTTAACCTGTTGGATGCAGTAGGTCTACAATTTATTTTTATTTCCCAGAAAGTACGTGCTGCATAAGGCTTACTCGATGCACCTTCTCCAAGGCAACTCCATCAATCTAAAATCAAGCCGAAATCAATAGAACCATCATTCACTTAATAGTTTGCAAGTGACCGTGTCCATGCTGAAAAATATTTATCATTGACTAACCAAGCAATCTGGATAAGGCCAAATGCTGATCCCTTCAGGCTGACATCCAGCAGTGTAGATATGTACGTAGCATATAGGTGACGCCGTGCACGCCTGAATATTACCTCACTGCAGGCTCCCCGGCAAGTTGCGCCCTTCTGTGTCGAAACTACAGCGTCGGCATCTTCCGATTTTTCGGGCGTTATTTACATACGTCCTACATACATATATATCTCGAGATATTTATATACCCCATATAGTCGATTTTTAAAAGGTTCAAAATTGAACCAAGTGCTTCTCGAAGCATCCCTCTGATCATACATAGCTCGTAATCAAACTTATGCCTCTGTTGGCTTTGGTAGATACAGTACGACAACGTAAAAACTCTAACTATATACTTTGTTATCATCTGAGCTAAACAGATTGCGCGTACGGTCATGAGAATTATTTTATGCACTGATTATTCCCATTGAGCCAAAACGTTGAATATCTATTGCAGTAAGTGCTTTCCATCACGGTCACAGAATCGCCGCGAAATTTCTGTCTGACCCCCCAACGCCCGATGAATGACAGGAAAACCTGAATGAAAGCCTGCACGCGCCAGATGCGACCGGATTCATTTATGTAGTCGTCGTCCACGAAGTCTAAGCTCACAACGTGTAAGTACTGCTTTATTATCTGATCATCACTAATGTGTAGGGCAATGTAGCTTGCTGTCGGGGACACCACTACTTCCGGCCAACGGTAAACGAGTGACGTTGATTTATTGTGCATCACCAATGCCCAAACAAGTTAAAACGACGTCCACTGGCCGTACTAGAACAACGCCAATCCGTCAATGGGACCCGGTTGGTCCATTGGCGTCAGTTAAGTATTGACCAGTTTTAGGCCGCGTTGGGCTAGCTGGCTGGCTGGCTGGCTGGCTCCAATCATGTGGCAGTAGCATTTGTGACTCGACAAAGGTAAATCGGATAGTGCTACAAAACAAATTGAGCAAAGTGCGACGATTCGGAACGTGTACGGTTGATAAATACTGTGCGATAGATCGATTAAGGCCTCAACACCTCGTTTTGACTATAGCTTTAGTTGGATGTTACTTACAAAGGGATATATCTCGCGTGTGAAGTGGAAAACGGTGCAACCTAGCTATTTCAAATAACTAGAACTGGTTTCCTATATCCGTACCTTAAACGCAAGAACTACCATGAGTGCTTCAGGGTAACGGCCACATAGGCAGTTAATGGTTCTGTAAGGAATTACCGTATAACCCCTATTTTATTGCTGGCGAAGAGATGCAATGCAAGGGCAGCGTGGGGCGCATCAGCCAAGTATCAAAGCATTAGACGTGAAAGCTGTCACGAAGGGTGTAATACGGCAGTAAGTGAACCTTGTCACTACCAGACATTTTCGCACATCGAACCCCGAGGGGGATCTCGATCACAGGATGTGGTGGTGGCCGGGAAATGGCTTAGCGACCATTCGGATCAGTTGGAAATGCGCTTTCGGAAGAAACACGTTCGTGGAGACGATCCTCCTGTTAGTGTTAGGTCCGTAGACGACGAGCAGCCATATATTGAAGGAAAAATGATAAGACTGTCAATGTGCTGCATTGAAAAGATAGTTTTAATTCATTAGTAGAACCTACTAATTGGCCTAATTGAGTCAATTGAAATCTCTCAGGGGCGGCATTACATATATAGTAATAATGTGTCTGGGCAATTTCTTAGTAAAAAGCATTCAGAAAACTTCGTTCCGTAGATTAACATAACACAATCAAAGTTTTGTATCTATATGCTAGAACGATCTTCCTAAGGACCCGATCGTCCGCGTAAATATAAGCTATAATAATAGTAACAATAACATGATGTATGTAATTCCGGACTAGACCCCAAAACATGCGTTCTCATTAGCTTAGATTAAGTTTATCAAGAGCATTTATATCGCATCATCATAATGTCTGTCCAATGTCATAGTCGTCCAATATCAATTTTTGTTTAGTTTTCATATAGGCCAAGTCTTAATTGATCCCTTCCGACATTTTAACTTCTAAAGTCATTAGTCAGTTAAGAAATTCCGTCCACTAATTTTTCGTTGCTGAAAATTTTCGACGCTGGAATTAAACTTCATAATTATGGTCGGAATTAGACTAATTTGCATCTCTACGGTCGGCTTTATATAGTTCAGTCTTGAAATCTACGCACAAAGTTAGCGGACGTCTAACCTGTCTGAACTGATCCCTCAAAGTTCTCGAGAGAAAAAAAAGCTTGAAACATTTAACGTATCTAATTAAATACTGAAAATATATACTTGAGGAGGCTAACGGTATTATTATTCTTTATCGCCTTAAGTATCTTGCGGACGGGTGACAAGAAGCTGGGCGGCCATCCTTTACCTCAGCGTACCTCGAACAATCAACGTAGATCAAATAAACGAGGCAATTCTTGACTGCCAGTACGATTATTCGCACAATGTAAGTACGCGACCATGATCCTCTTCTGCTCATTGTACAGTTTACCTTAGAGCAGGTAAAAATAAATATAACATGTGTTTAAGTTTTATTTGACGGCCTTTCTTCGTTTCTGGCCTTGCCGGAAAAAAGATATGCAAAGTACGAACAGTCCGTACAAATTGTACAGTGACGATTTCCTATATTTATATACATGGCACTGTACAATCTATGTAAATAGGAACCTCTTTACATGTTTCGCTCGAACAGCGTGTTCTTCTTGGCAAAGCTTAAGATCTAAAGCGCCAAAGTTTTTTCTGACTTCATATACTCACTGCTGCTAGACGGTGTTATCTTTCGGAAGAGTGGTTCCTTGGTAAACGCTTGCTCAACTCGTAGATACATATAGGCGCACTTTCATACGAGGCACATAACTAAGTGTGTTTTTATCCTTCCAAGAGAAGGTAGTGAAGCTGGAATAGTTATTATACTGATGATTTTATTCCTGTTTCTATTACCTCCAGCAGCAAGTGTATATTGCTAAATATCGAGGTCCCCAAAAAGTGCACAAACCTTCCACTGCTGGAGTACTCTTCCGGATGGCTTAATCATTTGGCGACAGTTAATCACTCTGATTATCCGGTTGTAGATCCATTCATAAAAGGATCCTTTCCAGACCTGGCAATCTCGCGTCAATTCTGCAGTGCTTTAAATGAATGGCACCTTTCATACTACCTTTCAGTGTCCGGATGGCCATATGTATCCTTTGGCTAGAACCTATTCATTCAGGACGTCTCATTTTTTTCCTTGTTTACGGCCGCTCCATCATGAAAGACCTGGCGCATTGCATCTATGAGCATTTGTGAGACACGAATAGAATGTTTTCTCAACCGAAGTGGACCTATTTCGATGTTTGGTGGGGCTTCGATGTTCTCGTTCGGTGACAGTCGGGCAGAAGCAATCAAAAAACTACAGAACGATAGGGCCTAGTTTGAGCTCACTTTGTTCTATACGCTGTAACGTATATAAACACACACAATTTTTCTGGGGACAGTTGACACCCAGTCGTTGACTGAAACGCGCCCCCAATAGTAGTGTGTTTAAGCGCCGAGTTGTTCAGTCATTCGAAATCAGGTGTTTACTAAATAAAACGCTCCTAAAAAATCGCTGCCACCCGTTCTGAGTTCTTTTTGGTTGAAGTCGTAACTGATAAATATATTTTTCTAACTCAGAGTTCCGCTAGCTGAATACTAAGTCGGCTCATTAACGTGAAATCATCGTTCTAGAGAGAAGGACAACGTGTTAATGGAATGGCCCCCGGCTGTTTAAGGCCAAATGGAAAATATAGCTAACTTTTACCTTATATCCCAGTGTAAATCGTTTGGTTTTTTCTTTCTTTCCTCTTCTTCTTGCGATTCTCCGTGTTTCATGCGCCATCGTCTCGAAACTGTATTCTGTTCCAAGTATTTAATTTGATGTTATGGTCAAATTCAACTTGAAAACTTAAAGCAGTATATGTTTTACTAGCGTTCCCTTATACGTATTGAATAGACCTAAAGTGCGTATAAGTTAATTTCGAATCTTTCTGGCTACGCTGCCTACGCGTTATATAGTGACGAGTACTATATATGTGTGCAACGCGCCTTCTTTCCGATTCTCGGAAAGACCTACGGTTGTGGCAAAACGGACGCGAGTTATATTGGATTCAAATTATATGAGCAGTCAGTACGGCTGAGAAGAACAGATTCGATCCCCTTGGCACGCTCGAGGTTGAATGTTCCTTATATGCTTGTGTTGCAATAATTAGCAAAGTACAACATTATGCACTGTGTGATTTCCACGTAATACATTTGTGGTACGTGAATGTTCTATTTCCACGCATTGTTGTCTATACCTAATTTTAATTGAATATTTGCCAGTTCTTCCGAACCTTTCTCTACGTATCTATGTGAAGGCCTGTGAGTGCTTGTTCTCGCACAGATTGTTGTACACAAGCTTCACTTAGACAATGAATAACAGCACAGCGAATATATCTTATATCGCCCACCCTATTTCTCCAAATTCGCCGCGATCCCCTCCTCCATTCTTTTCCCCTTTCCCAGTTGCCTTGGAATACCGATATGCCCTTCTGAGTGTCCTCGAAGACCTTGGGTTTACGTGAGTGTCGGTGTGCTGGGGCGGAAGCCGGAACTGTCAGAGAACGGTATCACGACAGGGAGGGCGGCAGATATCGCCGAGGAATTTTCCTTGGTCGAATAAGGTACAGCGGTGCTTTGAATGAATGAATTGAAAAGAACAGCTAGCGGCTGTTCTTACATCTGATTAACTATTCGGTTGGAAACGGCGAGGTTATTTCAGAACCCCTGAGGAAAACGGTAAGATTTGCAATCTAGCAGAAGGCCGCTACGGCGGCAAAAGAAAAAATTTTGTTGACAGAGCACAGGAGCGCAAATCCTATTCGAGATCGAAAACCAAGCGCCAAGTTATTCAGAGTGTAGTTACACCCTAAGCAAGTCTCGAAGATAAAAGGGAATGGGGCACACATTGAGGAGTGGTGTCCTTTTTATACCGCATTTGCAGACTTGAGGGCTTGACCTGAATCGGCGTCTGCAAAATTAGAATCTCTTCAACTCCGCGGACACATTGCTATCGATATGCGCATAATAATAATAATAATAACAAATGAAATAATAAATAGTAGTAGTAACACTCATGCATATATAAACAAATGGTTTAAGAGACTGAACACCGAGAGAAGAGTTTATCAGTTACTACTAGAAGTTCTTGTTTGTAGATCTATGGTCGCATGTGCCTGCGTCTGTGTTCATCTTCACTGAAAAAAGCCGAGAGCTAGATAAAACGAACTAATGTTCCCGTAGGCGTGCAGTTTTGCACGCTCTGCAGTAACCATACTCTAATATGTGTATGAATTTGGCTTGTTTTGAACGCGATGAGTAGATGGGTCCGAGAAAAGCGTTAGCGACAAGCGAAACGAGGCAGATGTCGGGACAGGAAAACAGTGCGGAAATACTGGAAAAAAAAAAAAAAAGATATGAAATTGACTACAGAAGATATACACGTCAGGCTTCGTTGCCGCAGAGGTGGAAAAAGAACCGCACTAACGAGCAACTGATCACACAGGCGGACTTTGATATTTAATAGTAGTTTACCTATCGACAAGGCACATGTATGTGTAATTGAATTAGCTTAGGCCTACTTTTATGTATATGAAATATTCACTTTTGAAACAGCCTCCAAAACGACGCCGGGCACGCTAAAGGTGCTACTAAACACGTGCCCAATTTGTACGCGCTTGCAGCTTGACGACTTTCTGGTTGTCAAATGGTTTTTGAATGACAATGAACAGCCGATCTACACCTGGCTACCGCACTCCAATTCCCGAGCTTTCCACCCACTCTACGAAACGTTCATCGATAAAACTTACACATTTTCAGCGGAAAGGTAAGAGCGACAGGGTAACAGCGGACGGAACAACAAACGTACGTACGTAGATTTAATGCCGCCTCCCGACACACTCCTCTACATCGAGACTGAATAAATTCGCTCGTTCGGATAAAAAAAAACAACAAGAAAGAGGTGAAAACGGGCGAGTGAGGAAATGAAGAGACCCGGAGAAGCATCTCATACCTGCTCGTCATTGTTGAAGAACTAGTAATAAATAGAATAGCTCAAGGCGCCAGTATATCAGTATATTTGCAAGTTTGCGTAAACGACGGCAAGAGAACACGGAGTGGGGTGCACTTTGGGAAACGAGCGGGTTCTGAGGAAAATCGAACAATTCTTTAATATTGTTTCCTGTTAAACGACTGCTCATAGAGACATGGTCAAGAAGCACTCTTACGCAAATGTTGTGAGTATTTTGCTTGTGAACTGTCGAAATTGTTAGGGGGTACACATATTAAATGGAAAAATGTTCAAATTACATTAGGTCAGAAAATTCGGCACATTAGGCTGCTTGTGAACTTGGTCAACTTTTAACTTGACAAAGCACATTTACCTCAAGCGTTATGTAGTGAAGCTCATGAAACGTACATTTCAATAGATTTTATAGAACTCTAGAAATTACGAAAAAGCACTTTTAAAAATTAACGTGCCACCTTAATGTATCTTTCGAGATGTTTTGACCCCTACGCCTGTCCTCAGCCTTGATTTTTAATTTCTTTGAAAATCAATGCGTTTCTTCATAAACAGGAACGTCTATTTTGCGGGTAATTCGCTTCTTTCTAGGACATAAGGCTATACCGTGAAGTCCGAACGCCTGTGATTTCGACAAAGCCGTTGAAGTATTCCTCTGCACTGAAAATTTTTTTTTAACTATATTTAGTTCTACTCTACTAGTATTGCATTTCGATACACATTCTTTTAATGACTGCTAGCTATGAGATCTACCGCGGGATCCGGTTCTCTCATCTTCATCCGAATTTGACTGGCATATACCTCTGCAGCGTCTCGTCGAAATGGGGACATTTTGAGGAACGGAAACCGATGACTCTGTATAGTGAGTTGCTGATTGATTATTTATGAATTCTTCTTGTACTGACTGGGAGCTTCATAGGGGGTCATCTATACTGTGTCTAGCGTTTCCGTTTTCGGCTTCAAATTTCCGATTCATATATGATTTCTGTATAATTAAAGGGTGATTAATTTAATTCAAAAGAGTAGATTAAATATATACTAAAGAACAAGTCCTATTTGCATGTAGACAAGGGAAAACGTCACGAAAGTACCTCAGAGTGAAACGACGCCTCAAACCTCTACCAGAGGATCTTTTGCGATCTTCGTATGACTCAACGTTTGAAATGACGCGTTCATTTACGACATTTACGACAAACATATGCATGTTGTCTCATTTTATTATATATTCCACAGGGAATCCTAATTTTATGCGATTTGACCTGAAAGTTTTAAGTTTCTCTGTGGTGTCGATCGAATGTGACGTCGAGCGTCTTATGCGGCCCGCTGAAGTTCGCGTATACCGGATCGAGGATCGATACTTTGCACCAGTCGATGCAGACGTCACCGTCGTGCCCATGCCAAATGATCGGATGCACTCGATTATCGCGATGGTCCGCAGCAATTATACAGTTAGCCAGGCCACATTAAAAACGAGTAGCGTCCTGCAGTTTCAGTGTGCTGTGTTCTACCCGAACTCAGGCGTTAACATGACCCAAACTAAACTCGTACTGATGAAGAATGAAGTTAGCCTTTCAACCAGACGACAAAACTGGATCGGCAGCGCAATTCTAGGACTTCTTACTACGTTGAGCCTTTTGGTATGCCTATGGAGTGATATGGCATGATTAGTTATCTGCATAGATTAAGATTAAGAGTAGAGCTGTTATCATCGGATCGACCATGGGAAAACTCGGAGAGGTATAATACAAAAAACGTAAGCTATAGATAGGATTGTACAGTTGCCTTCTATCGGCCCGTAAAAATTGTGAAAGATCTAGGCGTCAATTTTTAGAATTTCTAATTTTAATGTCATATCAAAAATAATTTGTGTGACCCTAATCTCAAAAGCGGAGGTGTTTAGCGAAAAATATGTGAAAATGTCACTTGCTAAAAGCTAGAAGTGCATCTGGGGGGTGTGGGAGCTGTTTAGCGGTCATCGTTTTCGCAATCTCGAGATTAATTTCGATTTTTTTTGTGGTATAAGGGCCCAAAACAAATCGAATTCTATAGATAGTAAATGGTGTATACTCTTTTCTATATTTTATTTTTTGTGTATTTAGGTTTTTGACCAGTATGTGTTCCATTATAACCTGACAGTGAGTTTAACCAGTAAATTTTACGCTCAATTAAAAGCTATAGCGCGCGTATTTTATTGTCCACCGTTTCTCTATCTCTTCTTTAAGTTAAAAAGAAATTTATCTTGAATTATGTTTATGTAAAATAGAATATTGTCAAATTTTACTCTTTGACACACATGAATAACCATACCTTAAACTTGTAAAACATACTCAAAATTTTTCGAAAAAAAAAAAAAGTTGCCCCCTATTAATTATTTTTGGCCAATATTACCCGAAAATCCGTAATAATTTCGCAAAAACTGCATGAAAAACGGACTACAAGAACGAGATAGTATACGTTTGATATTTTTAGGTTGGCATCAGTTTTGTGAGGGAAATTTAACATCTATGTAGAAGGCACTATTGAATACGAACCAAGTAAAATACATCTTAGATAGTCACAATTTTTGCCAACCTCGCCGTTCCGTAACTAATTAAAGAAAACCGTCTGAGTAAAGGCGCAAGTCAATATCTTTTATATCACGAGGATAGTAGAATTAATAAAATTCATTGAAAATACGTACGCTATCGTGTGATCGTAAATCGATCGCGCACTCTGTACGGTTTCCGAACATTATTAGCACTTACTGATTTTTCCATATTTATACAATATATAGATGATCGAGGTGCCGCTTGAATTTCGTTTTCCAATGGCTATAATCTATGAGATATACTTGAAGAGTGTTATATGATGAACGCCTTTGGAAGTTCCCGCTATACTGTCTTGAGAAAACACTATCGGACTTTTTGGCTACACTATAAAATGATGGATTCTGATAGTCTTATTTTAGTAATAGTGGTCACTAGAAATAAACAGCGCACATCTGTTCCCATATTGCGGCGTTCTTATTTTAGCATTTCTATCAGTTGTTACATGTCAGCCGTCGCGGAAACACGAGCAAATACACAATTTTGTTAGGTTTTTTTTTTCAACATACTCAGTTGTTTTACAGTATTGTTTTTACTTTTTCTGCATTTAGTGTTTCAGCACTATTTACAAGGATATTCCTTAGAAGGAACTGCATTGGTAAGTGTTGCATATTTTACCACCTAACTCCAGTATGGCTTTGCAATAGTAAATTGCCAGCTACAGAATAATGGCCAAATTGAATTTGCTCTGTTATCTCGACAAATGGTGATTTTTATAGAAATTCAATAACAATAAATGATTTTCATGGTGTACGGATATTGTTAGCATCCTCGAGGTCTTAACATAGACCTTGTCTTCTTTTTTATTTAATTGATATTGTAGTTTTCAGACTAATGTCATCGACTGAAGTCGATATATATCGAACTGTATGAGCAGTTACTATCTCTGTTTTCATCATCGTTTTTTTCTGTTCTTGACGAAAACTCTACCGAATTTATTTCAGACGCGACATTAATTTCATAGAAGAACAAAAAGTTAACATCGATATATATTAAAGACGCTAACATTTCTTTAAAGCCTAACAGCGGTGTTAGGTACGCCACCAGCTCGCCTGTGTTCCAACGCTTGTTTCTCTATACTGCCGTTAACATAATAGATGACGAAAAAGAGCCCATATGAATAATTACCCTGTATACAGAATAATATGGTAAAACGTTGCTCGAGCAACCAGCTAGCGACTTTCAACGCTAACCCACATAACCTCACCCAAAGCCCATTTTAAGATTAGCTCGGACGGGTTTAGCAATTCGGCCTTAGGCCTGGAGAAGAACGCCATTGTGTACTGGCAAAAACCTCTATAGTTCCATGAGCACACAAACAAATTCTTTGCCCTGTCTTACTTAGCATTTAACATGGCCCGCTGGGATCCTACTTCAGTCGCTTGTAAAGCGCAAGTACGTCACACTGACACTGTGGCACAGTAGAGAATAGACGCCCCTTTGTGAAGTTAGAAGGCTACTGCGAGCGCGAACCGTCAGAACTAAACAGCTGGTAATTCCAGCAGCAATTGTCTATGAAATGTTACAATATAGCTAGCTCCTTTGTGGTCCTTGTCTGTGGTACTGCATAATCAGGTCTGCCTTCAACTTTATTGGCCCCTTGCAGCTGAAAGAACATCTACGGGGGACAAGAATACTGTATTTGGAGAGCCTATAATGCTTAGTGTTTTGTTATTATGTTTGGATATTACTGCAAGATATTAGCGTAAACAGAGCGTACAGATAAGGTAGGGGGAGTAGGGGCTTCGCTGGCTGACCAACGACTTGCCGTTTAGCATGCCGTCATTAAATGCTTGCCATCAAGTTAACAACACTCATAAAGTGGTTGTTATGCTAAAAAGATTTACTTCCATCTTAGCATGGGAAAATTAGAGGGACTAAATAAGGTGAGCTTACCTTACAACATTCGAGTCCATCAAGCATTGCTCGCAGTCGCTTCATTGTGTTCGGAACACGTGGGGCGCAGCTGTATTTAGACGCTGTTCGTGGCTCCTATGGGCTTCCTAACGCTGCCTAATAAGGAAGAAGAAAGAAAAACGAGCGGCGGAAGTAAAATGGGTCTGTCGGACTACACACAGATAAAGTCCATGAAAAATCAGCGAATTTCTAACAGGGACACCTCTTTTTCTTATTGTTTTTCCTCGTGTAACTTCATAACGACCTCTGGCCAGTCGCGTATATCATAGTATGATATGTGCGAACCGTCTATATGCTAACTGTCACAAATAAAGTCCAGAGCAGAGCCAATATACGACTAATGGGGGAAAGCATAATTTCAGAACTTGACAGCCGTTTAAGAAGTCGATGGGTAAAACGATAACACACAACTGTGTGTAATTATTTTGTAATTAGTGGATATGTTATTAGTGCATATTCGGTTTCTGTCACAAGACATTATCTGGTCGGCTACTCGGGCTGCGTACATGAAGACGGCATTAGTCAGATGTAGGGTATAACACTTAATTTTTTTATTTCCCCTATATCCGAGGTTCTCGTGCACAGTTTCAGAAATATATCAAAGAACGATCTCGGATATCCTTGCCTTCCGTCTGAGTTCTCTCTTCCGCTTGTCTATTTTCTAGCAGATGAACATTCGAAATCATCAATTCAACACAATCAGCTCTTAATTTTATCGTCACTGTTTATTTTTTCCTTGTTCGATGAAAGTTTTTAGATGAATCATCTAATTTTGCTGAGAACCAAATCAGTTCTGGTTGTTAAAGCATTTCCACTGAATCGTCATAAAGAATGCTCTGTTTATTTTTTTAATGTGTGAGTGACACCTTTGTGTACCACCCGGACACCGCAAGGGCGAATCCAGTTCGTGTAAGTCGAGTGTGCGAAGGAACCTTGGCTATCGGACTTACTTCCGCCAAGCTTTCCATCATCCACTAATCTCAGTTACCCTCTTGCATGCTCCACTCCTAACTCTGTTCCTCAAGGATCTTCTAGCCACCTCTAGCAGATCAAATTGTCAACTGCTTTCAGGGGCATCGATACGTATGGTTTATAGGGCACACTTTCGTTTTCGTCGTAACGAGAACAGGGAATTTGCTCGCGTTAGGGTAACCTGCGTGCAAGAGGGGTCTATGCACGCACGACAGACTAATAACTACGCTCACATAGACAGGCGGGATACGGCGTGCGTTTGCTCTTGTAAAAGTCGGCCACCCATGAGCTCGACAGCGTGCTAGCTGATTCTGAGGTCATCGAAAGGGGAATTCTCAGGAGACACGAAGTCATTTGTCCTGTTTCTAATGCGTGGCGTATAGCCACTTCACTGGTTCACTCCTTCCTACGTTGGTTCAACGATTCAGGTGTACTTTTGCCTGTGATGAGTGCCTTACAGCACGCCCTTTTTGTTATAGTAAACGGTGTCCATCCCACTGAAACGAAGCTGTGGTAGTGTTTGCCTACTAAACTTAGGAATACGTGATGAGGTGAGAACTAGGCTTGAAATTTGTTGCGGTTCATTCG